AATAGTTTCAGGAATATTGCATTGTTCTCTGGTAGGTTTCTGCTGATTAAGTTTACACAAACTATTTCTACTAATTCAATTTCTGTGATTATGTGGGACCCAGCTGATGCTGACTGTTCAGCTGTTTGACAAGATTCATTTGACTAAAAACATTACTATGCTGGTCGGGCTGCCACAAGCAGCTCCTCCAGGCCAACAGAATGTTGCACCAGACGCGTGCGTCAGACCAGTAGATGTCACAGACTGTTTTAGGGGCGATGGAGTGGCCTAGTGGTTGAAGCATTTGCTCGTCACGCCGAAGACCCGGATCCGATTGTCTACATCGGTACAATGTGTGGAGCCCACTAGGGGTGTCTCCTGCCGCGATATTTCTGGAAGATTACTAAAATCGTTGTAAAACTAAACTCACTCGCAGACTGTTTATATTTGACAGTTAGAGATGTTTCGGTGGTATCAGTAGCCATTCGCCGCAGAGCTCCTTCTACCTGTAATTTTGGCGCTGTATAAATTAATTATTATTAGATGGCCAACTAGAAATGATACATAAATTGTAGTTTGCATTTGGTAAGGCAACTCAAACGGTATTACATTCCATTTGAAAAATCTTTGACAGGATAAATTTGTATAGGGCCTCGTGAGGCCCTACTTCTGGTACTAAGCTGGTTCTCGGCTCCCTTTGAGCGCGCCAACTTGCGATATGTGAGACAGGCCCCCGCTTACTTCCGGTATCAGATTTCCCGTGACAAGTGAAAATTCAAGAACCAGTTTTGGTTCCTAATTGCGTGACCGACTTTACAAGACTCGGACCAAGTGTACGTTGTTTTTCACAGTTCTTGTGAAGTGCCGCTTGATAACCGCTGTTTGGGGATGTTCTTGTTAGCCCTTGTTTAAATGTATTTGGCAGCCCAGGGATGTTCTTGATAGCTGTTGTTTAGGGCATGTTCTTGTCAGCCCATGTTTAGATGTACTTGACAGTCCAGAGGTATTCTTGATAGCTGCTGTTTTGGTGATGACCTTGTCAGCCCTTGTTTAGATGGACTTGACAGTCCAGGGATGTTCTTGATAGCCACTGTTTTGGGGATGTTCTTGATAGCCGATGGTCAGGAGCTATTCTTGTCAGCCCTTGTTTAGATGTTCTTGTCAACCTTTCATTAGGTGTTCTTGTCAGCCCTTGTTTAGATGATCTTGTCAGCCCGTTTAAGAGATGTTCTTGTCAGCCCTGGTGTTCTTGTCAGCCCTTGTTTAAATGTTCTTGTCAGCCCCTTTAGGAGATGTTCTTGTCAGCCCATTTAGATGTTTATGGCAGCCTTCTTTTAGATGTTCTTGTCAGCCCTTGTTTAGATGTTCTTGTCAGCCCTTGTTTAAATGTTCTTGTCAGCCCATTTAGGAGATGTTCTTGTCAGCCCTGGTGTTCTTGTCAGCCCCTGTTTAGATGTTCTTGTCAGCCCTTGTTTAAATGTTCTTGTCAGCTCGTTTAGGATATGTTCTTGTTAGCCCTTGTTTAGATGTTTTTCTCAGCCCATTCAGGAGAAAAGAATCAATATGCCTCCCTGGACACAGCACCAACCCAGATACTGAGACACCTGGTGCCGCCTCTGAGCGTACAACATCCTTCAGATACAGGATACAGTCCTGTGTTATTTATTGCGATGCAGGAATACTACAGAGCGAAAACATCAACAGTATTTTTTTGTTACGTTTAGCTTGAAAATCAATAGCAGGGTGTATAAGACAGGGTTTTGCTGGCCATGGTGTGCTGTATTAGAAGCTGTTTGCAAGATGAGGAAGTGCTATGTTTGGATTCGCTGCCTACGTGGGCTATATATAGATGGAATATTGATCGCAGACAGGCCGAGTTACTCAAACATACGATCAGAGGTGCACGTGATCACTGAGTTTGGTCACATGATCTCAGAAGTGCACATGTGATCAGTTTTCATCATGATGGTAGTGCATGTGATTATAACTGTAGATATGTAAACAGTATAGATGGTAGTGTGTTGGGTAATCATCTTGCACAGAATAGCATATGTATTATATTGAAACCCTTCCATGTTGTTGTACTGTAAATAACTCCATCACAGCATTGTTAGCCTTCTTCTAGGACAGTGTTGGTTGGTGGGCGTCACAACTCTCCGGTCCACCCACTCTCAACTTGGAGAATGTTGGTTGGTGGGCGTCACAACTCTCCGGTCCACCCACTCTCCAGGAGAATGTTGGCTGGTGGATGTCACAACACTAGGTCCACCCACTTCCACTAAGAGAATGTTGGTTGGATGGTGTCACAACACTCAGGTCCACCCACCTCCACTAGAGAATGTTGGTTGGTCCACCCACTCTCCACTAGGAGAATGTTGGTTGGTGGGTGTCACAACACTCAGGTCCACCCACTCACAACACTCAGGTCCACCCTCCACTAGGAGAATGTTGGTTGGTGGGTGTCACAACACTCCAGGTCACACCCACTCTCCACTAGGAGAATGTTGGTTGGTGGGTGTCACAACACTCAGGTCCACACCCAGGTCCACCCTCTCCACTAGGAGAATGTTGGTTGGTGGGTGTCACAACACTCAGGTCCACCCACTCTCCACTAGGAGAATGTTGGTTGGTGGGTGTCACAACACTCAGGTCCACCCACTCTCCACTAGGAGAATGTTGGTTGGTGGGTGTCACAACACTCAGGTCCACCCACTCTCCACTGGGAGAATGTTGGTTGGTGGTGTGTCACACCCACTCCACTGGTTGGTGGGGTCCACCCACTCTCCACTAGGAGAATGTTGGTTGGTGGGTGTCACAACACTCAGGTCCACCCACTCTCCACTAGGAGAATGTTGGTTGGTGGGTGTCACAACACTCAGGTCCACCCACTCTCCACTAGGAGAATGTTGGTTGGTGGGTGTCACAACACTCAGGTGTCACAACACTCAGGTCCACCCACTCTCCACTGGGAGAATGTTGGCTGGGGGGTGTGTCACAACTCTCAGGTCCACCCACTCTCTACTAGGAGAATGTTGGCTGGTGGGTATCACAACACTCAGGTCCACCCACTCTCCACTAGGAGAATGTTGGTTGGTGGGTGTCACAACACTCAGGTCCACCCACTCTCCACTAGGACAATGTTGGCTGGTGGGTGTCACAACTCTCAGGTCCACCCACCCTCCACTAGGACAATGTTGGTTAGCGTGTTCCAGTTCCTGCGGCTCCTTGCGATGGCCAGAATCAATGAAGTATTGATTCATTTAGGGGCCATGTTTCACAGTTCTCCGTTGTGGACATTTCACAATTTGGTGATTTCTCCAGGAACTGATACTCCTAAACACATCGGGCGGCTGTGGTCTTGACCTAGTGCACATGCACTTCGTGTCAACACTCTCCACAATACACTAGGGCATGATGAGCTATAAATGAAAGACGACTCATGCAAAGCTTATTGGAAAGGTTCAAGGCAGAGTTGGTTCTTGAAAGGTGCTAAGCTTAACAGCCCAGTCTTGAAAAGCACTCGGGTTTTGAAAGGTCTTTATGATACAGTTGAACCAGGACTCCAAGAATGTTAGCTGAAAATAGAACTATTTCACCTGGGGAATACGACTTGTGTATAGGCTGTGTATTGGTCAATATTTGTATTGCAATATATTGCGATACTCGTATTCTTATTGCAATATATTAGGAGCTAAATTGTTTGGTTGGTTTGATGTTTAATGTCGCACTCAGCAATATTCCTGCTATAATTAATCGAGTCTTGACAAGACAATCCAGTGATCAACATCATCAGCAGTGTTCAAGGCATTGGGGATGCAATGTCGTGTCCACCAAGTCAACGATTTCTACCACCTGATCCTGTTACTGGCCTCGTACGGCAAGCATGGGTTACAGAAGACCAATTCTAACCTGTATCTTTATGGGTCAGCTAAATTGTTTGACAATAAGTGGCTCTGATTGTACATGCAAATCCTATTTTCCACATACTAAGACCTGAAAAAGAAATAACATGGTTCTCATAACATACATCTAGAATATAGGTTAGATACTTTCCTTTTTATACTACTCATAGCATACAAAGAAAGCCATTTTGACAATTAATTGAAGGAATCTGAAGTGAATGAAAGTCAGTTCTCGGAAAATATATGTATTGTTTGAAAATCTTTGGTGATGTATAACTCACCTGATATTCCTGATATTGTGCTTGTCATGTAATACAGGTTTTGTTCAACATTGTAACTATATTGGTGATATTTATGGGTTATAAATGATATCTTAGCCAGGGGTTGAAAATACTATTGCCCGATGCCTGTGTTGAGTGGAATTCTCTGGTCAGTCAAGTAAATGTCCACATTAAACTTGACCATGGTACAGCAGTGCCAAACTACTGAAATGTTATGATATTGTATTTTGATGATGAAATAGAAATGCAATTTCTACCAACTCAAATAGTTAATTGTGGTCAAGTGAAATTAATATTTGGTCAAGTGGATTTTGAAAGTTTACTGGACCTGTGTCCAGTGGAGTTTTGAAACACTATTCAACCCCTGTTAACCCCTGTTAACCCCTGTCTGCTTGAAAATCCCCACAGAAGTGTTTTCATGAAGTCAAAGTTTGGTATCTGTTACCAAAACAATATAGTTTTACCTTATTTGGGAGACCATGTCATTACAAAGCTAGAGGAGCTGATATCAGTGATAAACATCAATTGACCAGGCATATAAGCCCTGCTGAGGATGTAATAAGCTCTGGTTATTACATCCCTGTGATATGACTTTATGTTGGTTTAATCAAACATGCAAAATAGCTCATTTTTCCCATTGCTAGGTATGTGATAACACAAATAACACTAGCTTGACAGACAGATGGAATGACAGACAGACTGACAGACAGAATGACAATTAACGCCTCACCTTATTCTATTTGTATGTGATATACCATCCCAAATTGTAGTGTTGCTGCTTTACGTATCCATTCATCAACATTGGTTATATATTTGGTCTTTTCTCCTCTCATTGCAGATGTTGCAAAAAACTTTACACGCGAGCCACTTTCTCAGGAAGCTTTTGTAGGCGGCACTGCCCGATTTGAATGCCAGATTGACGCTTTCCCTGCCCCAATCTTCAAATGGGAGAAAGCTCGCACAGATCTACCTCAAGATAGTGACAAGTAAGTGTCTTGTAAGCCCTGGTGTTCTTAGCTGTGATTACCAAATACCATATTGTAGGGCTCCGCAATACAACCGGTATTTACGGTATTTACTGGTTCAGACATCAAAACGATACGTATTGCGATACACTGATCAAAAACCGGTATTTTGACGTGCAATCGGAAAACTTTGTAACACTCGGATATCTTTGGATATTTCCTTGTTTCATATATGCCAAATATTTTATTTTAATTTTTAATTTTTATTTTTATTTTGTCATGATTAAAAGTTTTTATTAAAGCTTAATCAAGCGTAGTGATTTTGTTGTGTTTTTGCTTTATAAATCAAGCATTAACTTGATTATAAGTAGTTGTTAGTTTAAAACAAACTTCTTGCAATATATTGCAATACATATCGCAATATATGCTTTCGTATCGCAATATATCGCAATATGAAAATTCTCTGCAATACCCACCATATTACTACATACCATATTACTACATACCATATTACTATATAGCATGTTCGATATTATCATCCCGCATCCCCATAATGGTTCAGAATGTGAAGACCATTCTCGGTGCGCCTTTGCCATGATGTTCCTAGAATATTGCTGAAAGAGGCATAAAACCAAACTAACTCATCAATGTGACCCTGGGGCATGGATTGACCTGGTATTAGGTCACCACCGGGTTAATTAAATAATTATGGTTATGTATAAAATGCCTGTTTCCATGCAGTTGTGCATGCTCAAAATATTACCCTGGATAACCCAAGCTGCCTGTTAGGCACCAGAAGGTTAACAGTCATATGACATATCCCACTGGGTACCCATTCACTGCTGGGTGAACAGAGGCAATTTATGAGCAAACTCAATTGCCTAGGGTGAGACCACGTGTCACGTGTGCTTTGTTGTGGGTCAGGACTGAGATCCTGGAAACTACCATCCAAGGACTCTCCATGACCAACATTGCTTAACTTCAACTGATTTGCAACAGGGAGTTGTCTTCCTTGCATATGTCATTATTGGTTAGATTCCCAGTGATGAGACAGTAACACCATTACATTCTGTGTATTCATTCACGGTGCGATTTTGTTCTTTTTTGAGTTCCTGCACCAAGTGCAGCCTGGCTTACAGGTTTGGCTGCACCATCAAATTTTTGGTTGCTCTGTAAAATAACATCACTTGTTCTAAAATGTATCTTAAATACTTGTTTAGCAATTTTCATAACAAGTACTCAGTATCAGATACATTCAACAGAACCAGAACCCATGCTTCAATTTTGCATTACCTTTATTTTTAAATTACAATTATTTGATTACTGCTACATGTAAATGTTAATGCTTCTAACAAGTCTTGTTACTTCCAGCCACTTTCTTCCCAATTAAAACACACGATGACAGCTATAGGCTATTAGAGGATTTATTGTTACCTGCACCAAGTGCAACCTAAAGGCAACCAAGTGCAACCTAAAGGCAACCTACACTAGCCATTTTGAACATGCACGGTGAAGGTTGTAAGTAGCGAAACATAACATTGTGATTGGATGTCACTTGTGTTTCAGATATATTGTATTCCGCTCTGGAGTTCTTCAGGTAAACAATCTCACATTAGAAGATACGGGTCTTTACCGATGCATTACCTCTCATGGGGAGCTACACACGCTCCCCGACGTCATCGACACAATACGCTGGCGCCACAGTAGAGAAGCCGCCCTCACAGTCAGAACAGGTCAGTTTGAAGTACTGTAGTTGCTTGTATTCACCACTGATAACAGGTAAAGGGAGCTAACTCTGTAGCCCACTTTAATGTTATGTATTATAGGTTATTCAAAACCCAATATTTTAGACATCAATATTGTCATTACCTTTTTGACAAATTAATTAAGCCCTCATCAGCTATACAATTAAAAGTATAAAATGGCTACCTCAACCACTTTTTTTCCCCAGGACAGGAAGGTAAGGGATCGTTCGAAATGAGTGTTTTTGTTTTGTTGGGGTTGGTTGGTTGGTTGGTTGGTTTGATTGTACGGTGGGGTCACCCATTTGTTTGGTCCCTAAACAGACCAACCCCAGTTCCACATAAAATTCATCAGCTTGAAAATACCCTGGTCACATTCATCATAAGTCATCATGCTGAAAAATGTAACGTTAAATGTTGAAAAATACGGCCCCATATAATTACTGGATGGATGTACATTAAACATACATTAAACAAAATCATCCAATCACAGCTGCCAGATGATTCAATCAGCACTGAAGGCTCCCTATGAAAACTGCTGGTTAAACGACAGCTTCTGATTTGGTATAGTATAACTTGTATAGAATGGTCACACATTTCTTGTAAAGGGAAGTAACTCAGCAGTTATCCCTAAATGTGTTGGCGACATATACTAAGCTCCACACAGTGACTCTCCTTTTGCAGAGCTCTCTGGATGAGCTTCCAAAATCTCACCTTTACTTGTAAATAACCAGTTCTTACTATCATCTATGATTATCCTGATGATAATATGGATTTATTTCAGGCGGAGCAAGACGAAAACCAAGAATTATAGACGGCAACTTAAATGTGACAACGAAAACGGGTGAGACGGCCATTCTTGAGTGCCTGGTCGACGGCACTCCACTGCCAAATGTTACCTGGCATCGACAGGGTGAGTCATGTGATTTCAGAATAGGGGAACATCTCAGATACGTGTGAAAATAAATGTAACACAAATTTGTCATTTTCCACAACGATATGTAGCTGCTTGTTTCTATTCACATATTTGTTGAGCCGTGAAGATCTGTGTTAAAATTGGTCTTATATTTGACCCTTGAGATTGTTACATTGAAGGCCCTGTTCGACGTATCTGAAGCCGGCATCATCCCCCTAGCCCCCTGTTGTCACGAGCCACCAATTAGTACCTCTTGCCCCTTACCTGGCTGTTCTGTTAGCTGTATTCACTCCCCTGTAACTGCATTAACTGATACTATAATGGGAGGAGGAGGAGAAGGTTGTTGTTTTACCTGTCGGGGGTGAGGTGTTGGTAGTGAGTAGGTGACTACCAGTACTTAAGGAGATAATAGAGAATACAATATGTATTCCAGACTCGATTTTTTACAGACCGCCGCCATATAGCTGGAATATTGCTGAGTGCGGCGTAAAACTAAACTCACTCAAACTCACTACCTTCAGACTATGTGTCAAGATCTGAATTAATATTTCATTGTCCCTGCCATTATTTCCTGGAATATTGCTTAAAGATATTATAATATGATCCATGATCGTGGTCAGACCCGTGAAGATCTGGATTAGAATTGGTCTGCAGCAACGCATGCTAGTGGTAAGAGGCAGCTTACGGTATCAGGTGGTCAAGCTTGCATGTCACCATATCCGTTTGTGTAGGTCAATGTTGATGATGTCAATCACCTGATTGTCTGGTCAAGACTCGACTGCTCACAATGGTACAATAAGTGAAGCAATTATTTGCCTGCATTAACTTCCTGGAATATTGCTGATGGTATAAACCATGACTCATCCACTCACTGTGTTGCCGTGTTTCAGATCATAAACGCCTCAGTCAACATGCCTCCTACGTTGGACACAGAAACCTCAAGATCCGGTCAGTGCAGAAGGAGGACGCAGGCGTGTATGTCTGCACAGCCAGTAGTCGAGGCTTTAAGGATGTCAGCATATACGTGACTCTTACGGTCAACAGTAAGTCATCTTTGCCATCCTAGCATCCTCGATGACCTGTGAAGGTCCGGGTTAGAATGAATCTTCAGTAACCCATGCTTGTCGTAAGAGGTGACTAACGGGATCGGGTTGTCAGGCTCACTGACTTGGTTGACACATGTCATCGGTTCCCAACTGCACCGATCGATGCTCATGCTGTTGATCACTGGATTGTCTAGTCCAGACTTGATTATTTACAGACCGCTGCTAAATTGCTGGGCCTAGATATTCGAAGCACTCTTAGCGCTAAGATAATTGTATCTTAGCGCTAAGAGAGCTTCGAAAACTAGGCCCTGGAATATTGCTGACCGCGTCGTAAAACTAAACTCACTCACTCACTCCTAGCATCCTTGATAATCACCAGGGTATGCGTTCCGATACATCTTCTAGTACCCTGGATAGCCCGATAATTGTGTAGTCAACATTAAACACTTAAGACTTATGATTTTCCCCCAAAAAGATCTTCAGGTTATTTAAATTATTTTTATTTTTTATTTTATTTGTATTTATTTGATAGTTCATATTCAATAATCATGTAGCATTCTTAAAAATGTTAAGCAAATTTGTCTCATGGACATATCTTATAGATACTGTACACCAATCAGTATCAGTAAGCACACATCTGCTGGATTGTGGCGATATGGCTGAAACAATGCTGATACGTCTTAAACCTCAACTCAACTCAACCCTACTGCTGGATCTGTGTATGAATCCATCTCTCGGCATGTGACCTTGACCTTTCAGTGTTGCCAATCATCACAAGGCCACCACAGATGCAGCGATGGCCACGAGCAAGGACTGTCATCTTTAAATGCGAAGTTGATGCCTTACCGGAGGCCAAAGTCCGCTGGTATCGGGACGGAGAGCTTATCAAACCTGGACAGCCCTTTGAGGTGAGTTCTGTCATGGATTGACGAGGCAGGTTAGCTTACTGGAATCTAGTGGTCAACACGCGATAGCAGTGGAGCATCACAAATAATGTCCAGCTAAAGAGCAAAGTCTAGGTACAGTAACCTTGTGGTTAAAGTATTTGTCTGTCCCACCAAAGATCCTGGTTCGATGCCCATATGTCCCCAGCTGTGATATTGCTGTACTAAGTTGCTCGCTGCATCACTTAAAAATACGTTTTTAATATGTCGACTACATGTTTAGATAAAGCTGTGAAGACTCAGGTTAGTATTGGACTTCAGCCACTTATGTTTGTCGTAAGAGGCGATTAATGGAATCAGATGGTCAGACTTCGTTGACTTGCCTGCCACATGTCATTGTATCCCAGTTGCGTAGATCGATGCTCAGTGATCGATGCTGTTGATCACTGGTTTGTCTGGTCCAGACTCGATTATTTACAGACCACCTCCATATAGCTGGAATACTGCTGAGTGCGGCATTAAACAAAAAACAACCAAAAACTAACCCACCATGTTTATGTCTCTATTTAACCCAGTAGACCAGTGGCACGTTTCACAAAGTTATCATAGTGCTACGACTGTCGTACATCTACGTTTAAGCATGGGAGTTACGATCACCTTAGCGCTATGATTGCTTTGTGAAATGGCCCCCAGGGCCCTTAATTCTTGAAACGTTCATAGCCATAAGAATTCGTAACTTTGATCGTAGCCAATGTGTTGAGAATGGGCTAATGAAGTTTGTAGGGCTGCGAACGTTTCGGGAATAGCCAGACAGAATGCAGAAAAAAATATTGGAGTGCGTACTTTTACGTTCGAAATTTGCACTGCTGTATTCAGAATGTATCGGTAATACCAGGAACTGTGCGTGTTACCACCTGTTGTTGCTGCTTCAGTTCCGCTCGAGTTCATTGGTCATCTACAACGTGGAGCTGAAGCATGATGGGTACTACCAGTGTGTTGCGGAGAACAGTGTAGGGAGGGACACGGCCTTCGCCAGACTGGAGATCTTCGAAAACAGTAAGTAGGAAGTGGTGAAACAATAAAGAGTGTCATGAATGTGGTGAAGCTCATCGGGGCACAGATGACAAGTTTTCTTGTCTCCCTGCCATTAATTTGCCAAAAATGGCATGAAACCATACTCACTCACTCTGTTGTAGACTTGTGTTTTTTTTTCTCTTCATCCATTATATTACACAGGGCTCCAGATAACTTTTGGGGGGTGTGAGTGTACATCATATTGCAAGTGGAGGTGTACTGAGAATTTTGAAGGACTACTGACATGTTTTTGTGTGAGCGAGTTGGTGATGTGGTTTGTCTGGACGATTAATCGATCACTATTTCCAACCATGTATTTGTATTTGAAGTCGCGTGAGAAATAACTGAGCGACCGTGTGATTCGGGAAATGTCAGGTCCGACTGGATATAAATAGCAACAGTGTAGTTTTTAGCCAATCAAAAAATAGTGACGCATATCGTTGCATGGCAACGCAAGTGATTCCTACTGTCGGGGTTTCCTCATGTGTCAAATCGTGTTTCGCAAAAGAAACTTGACAAGTATTTATCCGAAATATATTTCCATTTGCACGATTCGCACAGAAATTAAATGTTAGACGTACAAAGGTATTTATGTGCGTACACGATACGCTTGAAATCTTATATTATGTCGTACTTAATTGATTTTGAGGCGTACATTATGCCTGTACGCCCTTTATCTGTAGCCCTGATTACGTGAGATGGACATCAAGTGTAGACTAGCCACTGACCACATTATGGGTCAGTAGCAGTAGCAAGAATATTAGATTCAGATTGCAGGTCACTTTATGAGGCAAGGAATGCTGAATATCTTCTTTATATATTGATGGACAAAACTAGCATGGACAGTGATGAATGAGTGATCATTTTTGCAGACGGTTCCCCTAAACCTCCACAAGGCTTGAAGGCTCACGCTCTCACCAGCAAGAAGATCTTCGTCCAGTGGAATAAGTCTGAGTCACCACCTGACCTGCCGATCCTCACCTACGTTGTCACAGTCTTAGCCTTCAATGGTATGTAGCCTTCTGTAGTATGTAGCCCTCAGTGGTATGTAGCCCTCAGTGGTATGTAGCTCTCAGTGGTATGTAAATCTCAGTGGTATGTAGCCCTCAGTTCTATGTAGCCTTCAATGGTATGTAGCCCTCAGTGGTATGTAGCCTTCAATGGTATGTAGCCCTCAGTGGTATGTAGCCCTCAGTGGTATGTAGCCTTCAGTGGCATGTAGCTCTCAGTGGTATGTAGCCCTCAGTGGTATGTAGCCCTCAGTGGTATGTAGCTCTCAGTGGTATGTAGCCTTCAGTGGTATGTAGCCCTCAGTGGTATGTAGCCTTCAGTGGTATGTAGCCCTCAGTGGTATGTAGCCTTCAGGACTAAGTACTTAGGTCATCCATGCTACCTTGTAATCAGTTACTTCTTTGTGAATTTGAGAGGACAGGATACACAGTTGTTCAGACATGATGTATTCAAGGGCATAATGCTGACTCATGAGAATCGCTAAGGCCATGTTAGGAAGTGATCATCACGTTCAGGTTTGAGGTCAAGTGCTTGTTGTGTTGCTGACTGAGAATCGCTAAGGCCATGTTAGGATGTGATCATCACGTTCAGGTTTGAGGTCAAATGCTTGTTGTGTTGCTGACTGAGAAGCGCTAAGTCCATGTTAGGATTTGATCATGCAGGTTTGAGGTCAAATGCTTGTTGTGTTGCTGACTGAGATGCGCTAAGGCCATGTTAGGATGTGATCATCATGTTCAGGTTTGAGGTCAAGTGCTTGTTGTGTTGCTGACTGAGAAGCGCTAAGGCCATGTTAGGATGTGATCATCACGTGCAGGTTTGAGGTCAAATGCTTGTTGTGTTGAGATGGGCTAAGGCCATGTTAGGATGTGTTCATCATGTTCAGGTTTGAGGTCAAGTGCTTGTTGTGTTGCTGACTGAGAATCGCCAAGGCCATGTTAGGATGTGATCATCACGTTCAGGTTTGAGGTCAAATGCTCGTTGTGTTGCTGACTGAGAAGCGCTAAGTTCATGTTCATCACGTTCAGGTTTGAGGTCAAGTGCTTGTTGTGTTTTGTAGGAGCAGAGGCTCTTGGGACGGACTTCGTTAACGGAGAGGAACCGATCCTCAACACCACCATGGAGCAACTGAAGCCGTTCACCAACTACTCCGTGTATGTCAAAGCCTTCAACAAGAAGGGAGCCAGCCCCCGCTCAGTCAACGTCAGAGTCCAAACACTTGAGGATCGTAAGTTGACGTCTTCAGTCCTAGCTCCACCCTTGTGTGTTTGTATATCATGGTTAGGTTTATCTACATTCCACATTTTTCGAACTTTATTTCTTGCGATGTGTCGAGAAGTGGTTATCACTTAACAATTCAAATTTAGTAAAACTCACCAGTGAAATTATGTCACCGTTCAATTTCTTGGTACAGTTGAAATAAGTTATTAACGTTGTAAATAATGCAGGGGTCTACAGTGTTGGCACTGCTGGTGGACCGCTCACTGTATCGTGTATGTGAACTGACCCGTGAAGATCCAGGTTAGAACTGGTCTTCAGCAACATATGGTTGTCTACACCCATGAAGATCCCGGTTAGAAACTGGTCTTCAGCAATGTATGGTTGTCTACACCCATGAAGATCCCGGTTAGAAACTGGTCTTCAGCAACGTATGTTTGTCGAAAGAGGCGACTAACGGGACAGGATGGTCAGGCTCGCTGACTTGGTTGACACGTCATTATATCCCAATTATGTAGATCAATGTTCATGATGTTAATCACTGAATTGTCTGGTCTGGACATGATTAGTTCTTTAGTACAAACAGGGAATGGGATACTATGACATGTGTCAACAAAGTCAACGACTTTGACTACTCGATCCCGTTAGTCACCTCTACGACCAGCGTTGGTTGCTGAAGACAAATTCTAGCCGGATCTTCACAGGTTGATACTTTGCACTGAGAAAGTGTTTGATACTCATTTCCTAGAGTATGCTTTGGTAAGTTGATCCTACACTGTTGCACTGCTTGCTTCAGTGCCGGTGGCTTCCCCCGAGATCATCCTGTCGACCACCACACCCAACACTATCGTTGTGGAATGGAAGGAGCTGTTGTCCACCCTGCGAAACGGCATCATCACGGAATACCAGGTGCATTACAAGACAAAGGATTCAGGAGAGATGGTTGATACAGTTGATGGCTCCAAGTCCTCCTACACCATCAGAGGTTTGTCACAAAATACTGTTGTGATTACTTGGGAATATTGGAGCTGCCAGGGAAACTGCAGGGACTTCAGATGTCACTATAGTAAATTTATGGAAAGTGGGTGTTTCTAGGGAACTGAAGATGTTGAACAATGCATGTTGAAAATTTTGTTACCATGGAAACTGAATGGACTGTAGATGATAAAATTGAAACCAAGGAACTGCAGATGTTGCTATGGAAACTGAATGGACTGTAGATGTTGCTATGGAAACTGAATAGACTGTAGATGTTACCATGGAAACTGAAGTAATTGTAGATGTTGCTATGGAAACTGAATAGTCTGTAGATGTTACCATGGAAACTGAAGGTATTGTAGATGTTGCTATGTAAGCTGAAGGAACTGTAGATGTTACTATGTAAGCTGAAGGAACTGTAGATGTTACTATGGAAGCTGAAGGAACTGTAGATGTTACTATGTAAGCTGAAGGAACTGTAGATGTTACTATGGAAGCTGTATGGACTGTAGATGTTACTATGGAAGCTGAAGGAACTGTAGATGTTACTATGGAAGCTGTATGGACTGTAGATGTTACTATGGAAGCTGTATGAACTGTAGATGTTACTATGGAAGCTGTATGGACTGTAGATGTTACTATGGAAGCTGTATGGACTGTAGATGTTACTATGGAAGCTGAAGGAACTGTAGATGTTACTATGGAAGCTGAATTGACTGTAGATGTTACTATGGAAGCTGAAGGAACTGTAGATGTTACTATGGAAGCTGAATGGACTGTAGATGTTACTATGGAAGCTGTATGGACTGTAGATGTTACTATGGAAGCTGAAGGAACTGTAGATGTTACTATGGAAGCTGAATGGACTGTAGATGTTACTATGGAAGCTGAAGGAACTGTAGATGTTACTATGGAAGCTGTATGGACTGTAGATGTTACTATGGAAGCTGTATGGAACTGTAGATGTTACTATGGAAGCTGTATATAGATGTTACTGAAGGAACTGTAGATGTTACTATGGAAGCTGTATGGACTGTAGATGTTACTATGGAAGCTGGACTGTAGATGTTACTATGGAAGCTGTATGGACTGTAGATGTTACTATGGAAGCTGTATGGACTGTAGATGTTACTATGGAAGCTGTATGGACTGTAGATGTTACTATGGAAGCTGAATGGACTGTAGATGTTACTATGGAAGCTGAAGGAACTGTATGGACTGTAGATGTTACTATGGAAGCTGTATGAACTGTAGATGTTACTATGGAAGCTGGAAGGAACTGTAGATGTTACTATGGAAGCTGTATGGACTGTAGATGTTACTATGGAAGCTGTATGGACTGTAGATGTTACTATGGAAGCTGTATGGACTGTAGATGTTACTATGGAAGCTGTATGGACTGTAGATGTTACTATGGAAGCTGTATGGACTGTAGATGTTACTATGGAAGCTGTATGGACTGTAGATGTTACTATGGAAGCTGTATGGACTGTAGATGTTACTATGGAAGCTGAAGGAACTGTAGATGTTACTATGGAAGCTGAATGAACTGTAGATGTTACTATGGAAGCTGTATGGACTGTAGATGTTACTATGGAAGCTGTATGGACTGTAGATGTTACTATGGAAGCTGTATGGACTGTAGATGTTACTATGGAAGCTGTATGGACTGTAGATGTTACTATGGAAGCTGTATGGACTGTAGATGTTACTATGGAAGCTGTATGGACTGTAGATGTTACTATGGAAGCTGTATGGACTGTAGATGTTACTATGGAAGCTGATGGACTGTAGATGTTACTATGGAAGCTGAAGGAACTGTAGATGTTACTATGGAAGACTGTAGATGGACTGTGGATGTTACTGTATGGAAGCTGTATGGACTGTAGATGTTACTATGGAAGCTGTATGGACTGTAGATGTTACTATGGAAGCTGTATGGACTGTAGATGTTACTATGGAAGCTGTATGGACTGTAGATGTTACTATATGGAAGCTGAATGGACTGTAGATGTTACTATGGAAGCTGTATGGACTGTAGATGTTACTATGGAAGCTGTATGGACTGTAGATGTTACTATGGAAGCTGTATGGACTGTAGATGTATGGAAGCTGTATGGACTGTAGATGTTACTATGGAAGCTGTATGGACTGTAGATGTTACTATGGAAGCTGAAGGAACTGTAGATGTTACTATGGAAGCTGTATGGACTGTAGATGTTACTATGGAAGCTGTATGGACTGTAGATGTTACTATGGAAGCTGTATGGACTGTAGATGTTACTATGGAAGCTGAATGGACTGTAGATGTTACTATGGAAGCTGAATGGACTGTAGATGTTACTATGGAAGCTGAAGGTACTGTAGATGTTACTATGGAAGCTGTATGGACTGTAGATGTTACTATGGAAGCTGAATGGACTGTAGATGTTACTATGGAAGCTGTATGGACTGTAGATGTTACTATGGAAGCTGAATGGACTGTAGATGTTACTATGGAAGCTGTATGGACTGTAGATGTTACTATGGAAGCTGAAGGAACTGTAGATGTTACTATGGAAGCTGAAGGAACTGTAGATGTTACTATGGAAGCTGTATGGACTGTAGATGTTACTATGGAAGCTGTATGGACTGTAGATGTTACTATGGAAGCTGAAGGAACTGTAGATGTTACTATGGAGACTTAGGGTCTGTGGACATTACCTTACAAGTCTCTTGATATCCCTATGACAGTGTAATACGTTACTGTTCCAGATGTGCAGTCGGAGGAGGAGTACTATGTTCGGGTTTTGGCCAGGACCAAGAAGGGGTATCCAGTTCTGTCCGATACACAGTGGCCGTGGGTCAGCATCCGCACTTCCAGGCTCACCTCCTCGTGTAAGTCGAATCTGATGTCTGCTGATTTTCCTGGATTTTCAGGATCTTTTACAGTGTAAACGTGCATGGTAGAATGAGTTTCATATTTGAGGCAGCAGCCCCAAGAAAAGAGGTCTCATTGTAGGCTGCCTCATTCAGTTTGTTTTAACAACTAATTGGCCAGGCTAAGTATGAAATTTGGCTTGAAAACTAGAGTTTTGATTTTACCTAACTGTTGGAGACCTGCCTCACCTTGCGACATTTCTTCCCCAGATCAAGGTCACACACCATGATTACTGATTTACTGTGCAGAGCAGTTGTACACCAAACTCACTCACTCACCCACTTTTTTTCCCTTGCATACAGTTCCGATTCCACACCTGCAGATAATGCGTTCAAATGCCTCTGTGGCTTTAGTCAAGTGGGTCATCGACGATCCACTTGGCAAGGTGGAGACGTACCAGGTTCAGTTGAAGAGCCTGCAGGGTGAAGGCATCGTCCTGCACACTGACACCATTGTAGGCCCAGCGGACCAGTACATCCTCACCGACCTAGGTAAGTACACTTACCCTCACCGACCTAGGTAAGTACACTTACCCTCACCGACCTAGGTAAGTACACTTATCCTCACCAACCTAGGTAAGTACACTTACACCCACCGACCTAGGTAAGTACACTTACCCTCACCGACCTAGGTAAGTACACTTACCCTCACCGACCTAGGTAAGTACACTTATCCTCATTGGCGTAAGTCTGTACACAGAATGTTTGCCCTCACCGACCAAATAGTGTGTGAAATAGCCACTGGTCCGCTAACCCGTGGCTAGTAAATATCCAGTTGGGCTAGTAAATCTCCACAGTCACCAGCCTGACTGGCTAATGAATTTTCAGGGGGTCATTTTGTCAATGTCTCACTCTCTCCGATTTGTTAAGTTATAATACTTTTTTAAATCATTCAAGACTACGGCCTGATAATTTTTTTATCATATTAACACCCTAATGATGAAACCCGTATTTACATTCAAATTTTGCGCTAGTGAATTACTAGTATTCTGTGGGCTAGTAACTTTCAGGCATGGCTAGCCCGACTGGCCAGCAAAATTTGGAAACCTTTTTCACACACCATGATGATGACCAAGGTATGAACTATCTGATTTAGGCAGATACTAAGGCGCGTCCTCACTAGCAGATGTTCTTTCTCCTACATGGGTACATGCGATATTACTAGAATAGTAGGAGAGTATTACCAACATACCTCTCACAGTGCCCTCTTGTTTCAGACAACAGCACAGACTATGAAGTGACGCTTACTGCAAGGGGAAATGGAGAATCATCAGGTCCTGTTGCCATGGAGTTTCGGACAACCGAAGATGGTCCTGTGTTCGCAGCAGAGGTCCTGAATGCTAGGACGCTGAATGCAGCAACCATCTTGTTGACGTGGATACAGCCAGGCTCGCCCCACAGAATCAAACAGTACGACGTCTGCTACCAGATAGAGATGGGCAAAACCCAGACTTGTATGAAGAGGTGTGTTCTCTTTCCTTCCTAACTGTAACATTGCCTTGCCCTGTTCCACAAAGTAGGGGCGGTGGAGTAGCCTAGTGGTTAAAGCGTTGGCTCGTCACGCCGAAAACCTGGGTTCGAGTCCCCACATGGGTACAATGTGTAAAGCCCATTTCTGGTGTCCCCCGCCGTGATGTCGCTGGAATATTGCTAAAAGCATCGTAAAACCAAACTCAGTCAGTCAGTCAGCCCACAAAGTAATCGTAGGTTTATGACTGCTGTAAGTCTATGTGGAGTAGTGGTTAAAGCATTCGCTGAAGACCTCACATGGGTAGAATGTGTGAAGCCCATTTCTGGTGGCCCCTGCCAGAGGGCAGAGTTTTGACCCTTTAGTTTGCCACAAATATGTGATTGGTTTGATAACCACGAGTATTTTTCTTGGTTTCCCGGTACCATAGCCATGTTTGTTAGTTTCTACAGGATAGCTTGCTCATTCACAGTCTCAGTGATAGGGAGATAGGAAACATGAAAAAAGGACTTTACTGGGGAGAGATTAGTGCAGATATGAGCAATGCGGGTTTTTTCTAAGTCCAAAGCGTCTTACTTAGAACAGACCATGGCTTTATACAAATTAGTGTGCGATGATATTGTATTACAAAGGACACTTGTAAATGTCCATGTTGAAATTAGACTTGGCTTCATTATAAACGATATCTGATGGTAACTTACATGCTGAAATTATTAAGGATGTAGCTACCATGGAGTCTCACTGTCACTATAAAAAGAAACAGGTAGGAGGGGTCGTCTCAAACGCAAAACGGGATGGGTGTCTCAGACAATGGTTGGGGTCGGGCTGAGGGATAGAGATATCAGCTAAGATATGATAATCCTGTAGGGGAATTCAACTGGGGAAGTACACGGCATGTCATAACAATTTACAAATAATATCCAGTTCTGTCGATCTTCGGGTGGTCATGCCACCTATATATTTTGAGACATTTAATACGATGCTTTTCTATGCGTATCAGGTATCATGCTTTTTTGCATATGCACTTTATGAAAGAAAGAGACATAAGGTGTTAATCAATAGATGAGGCATATTCAACACACATGAAAATGCACAAAATATCTTTGACATGACCCCTTGTGCCTGCAGGCAGCACGTGCATTTCATGCCAGGGGAGTTGCCGGTCCGTCGTCATACCTGGCTGAGCGAACTCATTGCCATCTATAGTCTGATCTATTGTTTTCAGGAGTTATCGTAGTTTTGCCCGATTTTACAAGCAAACATGCTTTCTGGATATCCTCTTGCGCATTCCATTGAATGCCCAGTTAGGCCGATGTGGGTCATTTCGACATATGCTATTTGCAGTTGTGTAAATTTTAGGGATTCCAGCTACATGGTGGTGGTCTGTTAATAATCGGGTTTGGACTGGACAATCCAGTGATCAATAACATGAGCATCGATCTGCGCATCCGGGAGATGATGACATGTGTCAACCAAGTCGGCGAGCCTGACCACCCAATCCTGTTAATCGCCTGTTACGACAAACATGGGTTGCTGAAGATAAATTCTTCATTGGTCTACGCAGTTGGGACACAAAGACATGTCAGACCGCTGACTTGGTTGACACATGTCATCGTATCCCAATTGCATAGATCGATGCTATTGTTGTTGATCACTGGATCAGACCCGATTATTGGCAGACCGCCATCATAAAGCTAGTGCGGCATTAAACATGAAACCAGCCAACCAAAAACCATCATGATGTCATGTAAGTGTGGCCTCAAATCTTACTCCCTTTCTGGCTGTTTCCAGCCACTCGCCCAGTGTCAGCATTGCCGGACTGAAGCCATTCACCAAGTACAGGTTCACTGTACGTACACACTTCCAGAACAACGACGTCAAGGTCAGCAGTCCACTGATTGCACAGACACAGGAAGACAGTAAGTGTATCGCCATGTTCTGAGTGAGTGAGTGAGTGAGTTAGTTGAGTTTTATGCTGCAATGATTGGTGCCACTCTGTCAACACTGGGGGCGGTGGGGTAGCCTAGTGGTTAAATCGTTCGCCTGTCATGCCGAAGAAATGGGTTCGATTCCCTACATGGATACAATGTGTGAAGCCCATTTCTGGTGTCCACCCCCATGATATTGCTGGAATATTGTTAAAAGCGGCGCGTACAACCATGCTCATTCACTCACTCACTCACTGTCAACACTGTATCTGTTTATACTGCAGCTTCTAACTGGAAGTTTAGTTAATGTAATACAGGGGAGGTAACTGTGATGTTGAGTGGAAGTTGAATAATGTAATGCAAGGGAGGTAACTCTGGTGTTTCTCTCCACCAGTCCCCAGTGCCCCGACCAACATTACCTGGATCGTGGTGTCACCAGGCACCGTGGAGCTTCACTGGAAGCCACCTGCCTCCCCAACGGCGTCATCACCTCCTACATCATCTTCTACAACAACAACAACAAGGTTCCTGACACCATGTGGCGCAACCTTACCCAGACAGGTAAGACCTCTCCCTAACCAAACCCTGACAGGTTAGACGCTCTCCTAACCAAACACAGACAGGTAAGACACTCTCCCTAACTAGGGCTGCGCAATATAACCGGTTTACCGGTATTTACTGGTTCAGACATGAAAACGATACGTATTGCGATACGCTGATCAAAAACCGGTATTTCGACTTGCATTCGGAAAACTTCGTAACACTCGCAAATCTTCGGATATTTCCTTGTTTCATTTGTGCCAAATATTATTTACATTCTTATTTTGTCATGATTAACGGTTGTTGTTAAAGCTTAATCAAGCATAGTTATTTTGTTGTGTTTTTGCTCTATAAATCAAGCATTAACTCGATTATAAGTAGTTTTATGTCTAAAAATACTTCATGCTATATATTGCAATACATATCGCAATATATGCTTTCGCATCGCAATATATCCCAATATGAAAATTCTTCGCAATACCCACCCCTGTCCCTAACCAAAGCCAGACAGTGGGTAAAAATAGCTTTTGAGACTTCAGCAGATATCATTTTCATAAGTATTGTTACTGTTGACTGATGTGTCAGTGTATGGGAACTGTCATGTTACTGAAGGACAAAACAAAATGTCTTTTCTAAAAAGACTAACATGACCTCACCAAAGAAAACACATTTTCACCGTAGAACACTAAAACAAGATTTAAATCTTACCCAATAATACAAACCTGATCTCAGTCAAGAAGGCAAAAACAAGATTTAAATCTTACCCAATAATACAAACCTGATCTCAGTCAAGAAGGCAAAACAATACAAACCTGATCTCAGTCAAGAAGGCAAAAACAAGATTTAAAATCTTACCCAATAATACAAACCTGATCTCAGTCAAGAAGGCAAAAACAAGATTTAAATCTTACCCAATAATACAAACCTGATCTCAGTCAAGAAGGCAAAAACAAGATTAAAATCTTCCCCAAAAAGAAAACGCACGATCTCGCCCAAGCGGACAAAACATTTTAAAGGCAAAAATAAGATTAAATTCTTACCCAATAATACAAACACGATCTAACCCAAGAAGACAAGAGCAATCTCACCTGCAAAAAGGTATTCATGAGCCCTAATTAATTTCAATGCTTGGTTGCCATAGAAATGACCTTTGTCCTTGTGTGTGTGCAGGGGGGCTGACTCAGGCTACCGTTGATGAACTGACTGCCGCCTCCTACTTCTTCAAACTGCGAGCGTGTACCCGAGCAGGTCAAGGTCGCTCGTCACAGATTGTCGTGGTCTACCCAAACATCAAGTGCACAAGCCAGACGCAGCAGCAGGAAAGATGCCGACCTGACACAATCGTCGGCCCTGGTGCAAATACAGGTCAGTAATATCCTGTCCACAGCGTGAAAACAGCCTTATGAACAATGAACAAGTTGTCCATTCAACTTTCATGTGTTTGTGTCTTTGTATGTCTAAATGTAAACCGATGTGACGTTAAATAATAACTCACTCACTCACTCGAAATGTAAACCTGTTTTAATTGGAGATACCACAGTTGAACCTGATTACCCAACTTAGACACAGTGTACTGCAGTGATGCGTATCTCGATCCTGGGGTCACGATACAATGCGTATCTCGATCCTGGGGTCACCATATGATGCGTATCTCGATCCTGAGGTCACGATATGGTACATATCTCGATCCTGAGGTCATGACATGGTGCTTATCTCGATCCTGGGGTCACGATACGATGCGTATCTCGATCCTGAGGTCACGATACGATGCGTATCTCGATCCTGAGATCACGCGATCGACGAGGTCGCGTATCTCGATCCTGAGGTCACGATACGATGCGTATTTCAATCCTGAGGTCAAGATATGATGGGTATCTCGATCCTGAGGTCACAATATGGTACGCATCTCGATCCTGAGGTCATGATATGGTACGTATCGCGATCCTGAGGTCACGATATGGTACGTATCTCGATCCTGAGGTCAAGATATGGTACATATCTCGACCCTGAGGTCACGATTGGATGTGTATCTCAATCCTGAGGTCAAGATAAATGCGTATCTCGATCCTGAGGTCACAATATGGTACGTATCGCGATCCTGAGGTCACGATATGGTACGTATCTCGGTCCTGAGGTCATGATATGCTACGTATCGCAATCCTGAGGTCACGATATGGTACATATCACCATCCTGAGATCACGATATGGTACATATCTCGATCCTGAGGTCATGACATGGTGCTTATCTTGATCCTGAGGTCACGATATGGTACGTATCTCGATCCTGAGGTCACGATATGGGACGTATCTCGATCCTGAGGTCATGACATGGTTTGTATCTCGATCCTGAGGTCATGATATGGTACGTATCTCGATCCTGAGGTTACAATATGGTCTGTATGACGATACTGCATTTCTGACATTTTGAGTGGAACAAGCAGCCATTTCCTGGATGGCAAGTTGATACGCTGTGGCAACCATAGTTCCAATCCCCACATGGGTACAATGTGTGAAACCCATTTCTGGTGTCTCTCCCTCCTCCTTTCTCTCTCTCTTCCCCTGTGGTTTTTATCAGAAGAGAATGGATATGTAACATGCACATGAATATGCAAAGGCCTTGACATATGGAGCAGCCGATGCTGAAATTTGATATATGTGAAACTATTGTTTCAGGTCGCCGAGACAAGCAGCTAGGAATAATTGTTGGTGTCACCATCGGCATCGTCTGCATCGTCATCTGCATTGTGGTCATCGTTTTTCGCAACAGGTAGGCACGCAAGTCTTTTGGCAGCAAGTTAGAGCTGTGTCACGACATGACAGATAAAACAGAAATCATCTAACATCTGGATCACTGGGTGACATGTGTCCTGTCATGTTGCCATGACATGACATGATGACAAAACTGAAAAACCCTTCAAAGCAGCATTAGCCCATTCAATACCATAGGAAGGTAAACCAGCCAAGATCAAGGCGAGATTAAACTGACTCAGTCAGTGTATCTCGTCAGTGTATCTCTGTTCCCTACACCTGTGAAGATCCGGGATCAAATTGGTCTTCAGCAACCCATGCTTGTCTCCCCATGAAGATCCGGGATTTAATTGGTCTTCAGCAACCCATGCTTGTCGTAAGAGGTGACGTAAAGGATCGGGTGATCAGGCTTGCTGATTTACTTGGTTGACACATGTCATAGTATCCCAGTTGCGTAGATTGATGCTCATGCTGTTGATCACTGGATCGTCTGGTCCAGACTCCATTATTTACAGACTGCCGCCATATAGCTGGAATATTGCAAAGTGCAGCACAAAACTAAACAGTCATCAACAGCATGAGATTTTGTAAGAATATCTGACTATTCTGCAGTATAACATTTCTTTGTGTCAACTTTATTTACATTCCTCACTGACTGGACGGTTTCTTTAAAGGTGTTTCAGATCCCGTGAACCTCCGCCCATTTACCATGGTAACGGCCACCTTCCAGGCCATGGCAATGGTCATGCTGTTCACGTGACGACCAACCGCCTCTCGGTGCAGAGTTCGGACATCGAGGCGCTCACGCCCATGTTGAACTCACTGCAGGAGAACACAGAGTCAGATTCTAAGGTACGATCAGGAAGTCGGGCAAGTCATTCAGTGGGTTCCTAAAGATAGTTGTCAGGACGGCAGCATTTTATGTCTCTCACATTTTGGACAGGCTATGAAGATTAAATGTCATGAAAGCATGATGGTTCCATTTTAATGATCTGCACAACAAGCACTGTTATTGGTGAATAATAGTGACACACATTTCATGTTCTGTGAGTAACGTTGCTCTTTGAGAGTGGACCCGTGAAGATCCGAGTTGGAATGGATCTTCAGTAACCAATGCTTGTCGTAAGAGGCGACTAAAGAGATCGGGTGGTCAGGCTCACTGACTTTGTTGACACACATGTCATCGTATCCCAATTAAGTATATTGATGATCATGCTGTCATCACTGGATTGTCTGGTCCAGACTCCATTATTTACAGACTGCCGCCATATAGCTGGAATATTGCAAAGTGCAGCACAAAACTAAACAGTCATCAACAGCATGAGATTTTGTAAGAATATCTGACTATTCTGCAGTATAACATTTCTTTGTGTCAACTTTATTTACATTCCTCACTGACTGGACGGTTTCTTTAAAGGTGTTTCAGATCCCGTGAACCTCCGCCCATTTACCATGGTAACGGCCACCTTCCAGGCCATGGCAATGGTCATGCTGTTCACGTGACGACCAACCGCCTCTCGGTGCAGAGTTCGGACATCGAGGCGCTCACGCCCATGTTGAACTCACTGCAGGAGAACACAGAGTCAGATTCTAAGGTACGATCAGGAAGTCGGGCAAGTCATTCAGTGGGTTCCTAAAGATAGTTGTCAGGACGGCAGCATTTTATGTCTCTCACATTTTGGACAGGCTATGAAGATTAAATGTCATGAAAGCATGATGGTTCCATTTTAATGATCTGCACAACAAGCACTGTTATTGGTGAATAATAGTGACACACATTTCATGTTCTGTGAGTAACCTTGCTCTTTGAGAGTGGACCCGTGAAGATCCGAGTTGGAATGGATCTTCAGTAACCAATGCTTGTCGTAAGAGGCGACTAAAGAGATCGGGTGGTCAGGCTCACTGACTTTGTTGACACACATGTCATCGTATCCCAATTAAGTATATTGATGATCATGCTGTCATCACTGGATTGTCTGGTCCAGACTCGATTATTGACATATAGATTGTGATGACAAGAGCTGAGGTATATTTCAGCGGGGTGGTACCCTGATTGTGATGACAAGAGCTGTGGTTCGTTTTGGAGGGGGGGGAGTGTTACGCTGATCGTGATTACCAGTGCTGTCATTTGTTATTACATGCCAGGGGGATATAGTCGACGCCTCATCTGTTGCTCTGTCTGTCCGATCTTCCGTAATAATTTTGTTTTGAGCAACTCAAAATTTGATAGATACTAAAGTGGTGCCTTTTGCTATTTTCAGATTTTTGTCATTTGCATTTTTCTTGGTTTCCATGTCAACGTTTTGGACTTAGTCTCAAAAGGTAGGGGTGGGCTTTGTTTAGGGTCCTACCCTAAGCATGATGATGAAAGCTGTGTTTTGTTTCAGGGGGGCGGTACCCTGATCGTGACGCCAAACGGAGTGCGAGTGAACGGGATCAGTCACAGTTTGCAGAACGGACATGTGGGCAATGGTCATGTGATTAGGAGGGACGGTAATGTGCATCTTGGCAATCGAGGCAGCTCAGAAGTAAGTACCCCAATTACTTGCAGAGGCTCTGTTACTATGGTTGTGAAGCACATCGTCCCTAATGTCACACACACTGCTGTTGTGCAGTGTTGCCCCTTTAGTGTGCTACAAACCTGTGATTGGTTCGAATCCCAGACAACCCTGAGTATTTTTCTTGGTTTACCAGTACCATAGCCATGTTTGTTAGTTTCTGCAAGGTGTAGATATCTGCTACAGATATAAATCCAGCTTTCCAATCACACAAAGCTCACATGTTGTATATACTATCCAAAGATGCGTTTGGGAAACTGAATTGTCTAAAAATGTCACCCAGTTTCCTTTAAACTCAAGATACAGTTTGATCAAAATCATTTGCTAATTCATGATTTGTTGAAGTTTATGATTCCTTTTCCAACAGTGAGATTTATTTGATTCAGACTTGCTATATTGGAACTCTAATGTCGACAGGAGATAATGTCTTCCTATCTCTCAGATCAGTTTGTGGAGGGGGACCAATTATGTTAGTGCTCCTAGTGGGATCTTCTTAGCAGGAAGATCGGTTGGTGGAGGGTGACCAATTATGTTAGTGCTCCAAGTGGGATCTTCTTAGCAGGAAGATCGTTTTGTGGAGGGCGACCAATTATGTTAGTACAAGTACTGGGATCTTCTTAGTGTGAAGATCGGTTTGTGGAGGGGCAATTAGGTAAAGTAAGTAATGCTTATTACGATCTTAGTGGGAAGATCGGTTTGTGGAGGGGCAATTAGGTAAAGTAAGTAATGCTTATTACGATCTTGTTAGTGGGAAGATCGGTTTGTGGAGGGGCAATTAGGTAAAGTAAGTAATGCTTATTACCACGATCTTAGTGGGAAGATCAGTTTGTGGAGCGGCAATTATGTAAAGTAAGTAATGCTTATTACGATCTTGTTAGTGGGAAGATCAGTTTGTGGAGGGGCAATTGGGTAAAGTAAGTAATGCTTATTACGATCTTGTTAGTGGGAAGATCAGTTTGTGGAGGGGCAATTGGGTAAAGTAAGTAATGCTTATTACGATCTTGTTAGCACTAAGTTTGCTTTGTGTAGGGGGACCAAGGTAATGTCATTAACTGGAGTAAGATCACCTTGGCACACAGGACCCTGGTCCATGTGGTTCCTAACCTGTGAAGATCTGCTTTGTGTAGGGGGACCAAGGTAATGTCATTAACTGGAGTAAGATCACCTTGGCACACAGGACCCTGGTCCATGTGGTTCCTAACCTGTGAAGATCTGCTTTGTGTAGGGGGACCAAGGTAATGTCATTAACTGGAGTAAGATCACCTTGGCACACAGGACCCTGGTCCATGTGGTTCCTAACCTGTGAAGATCTGCTTTGTGTAGGGGGACCAAGGTAATGTCATTAACTGGAGTAAGATCACCTTGGCACACAGGACCCTGGTCCATGTGGTTCCTAACCTGTGAAGATCTGCTTTGTGTAGGGGGACCAAGGTAATGTCATTAACTGGAGTAAGATCACCTTGGCACACAAGACCCTGGTCCATGTGGTTCCTAACCCATGAAGATCCGGGTTAGAATTGATCTTCAGCAACCCATGCTTGTCGTAAGAGGCGACTAACAGACTTGCTGACTTGGTTGACACATGTCATTGTATCCCAATTCTGTAGATCGATGCTCATGCTGTTGATCACTGGACTGTCTGTTCCAGACTCGATTATTTACAGACCGCCGCCATATAGCTGGAATATTGCTGAGTGCTCACTCACCCATGTGGTTCCTATTAACAATCTGGGACTTCAGTTGCTACAATGTGTCTGTTTGTTTCAGGAGCATCACGGGCTCATCGCTGCGGTCCAGGCCTCATCTGGGAGTAGCCCTGGCTCTGCGGGTCGAGAGATGTCCACATATGCAGGGGAAAGTCTAGAAGAGATTGATGGGAGTCTGGAGGACGAGAGTCACATGACCTCTGTTGTCAAGGCACCCAATGGGGAGGCAGCCATGTTGAAGGTGACCCCCAGTGAAGGAGGAGACACAACCCGGATCTCTCCATCTCGCCGCGGGGGCAGCAGCGGCGGCGACGACGCGGCGGCATAGGGCCAGCTCAGGCAGCATCTTCATCCCCAACCCTCAGGAACAACGGCAGCGGCGGCAGCAGCAGCAACGCAGCTGACAGCACTACCTCATCTCACCTGCCAAGCAGCAACACAACCTCGAGGCGGGATCAAGGTCAAGGTCACAAGGACCTACCTCCCACCCCTCCTCCACCTCTCGAAAGCAGCAGCAGCACCCAGAGCAGTACCTCAACTCAGGAATCTCCGGTGGGAGCCGGGACACATGTTGACAGTCTGCCCCCTAGAGTCGGGGCAGGGAAATTACCTCATTTGTTTGTACGTGATGGAACATGGGGAGGTTTAGAGCAATCGGACTCCGTGGTGTAGTGGTGCTACACCACACTGCTAATGATAAACTTGTGTTGTCTACAAACTGACCTCATTCATAGCGTGGCTGCTGCCCACACACCCACTTTCCGTCTCTCCGTTACCTGCAGTGGCAGGATACATGAACAGACGAATGGAGCGATGGATGGTGGGTGTGGTGCCCTGGGGCCACGATGCGGTGTACTACTATCTTCCTGTGATGCGGGTATTATATACACTTTTTTACTTCTCCTTTTAAGAGTGATCAAGTGGCAAACGTGAACAGATGATACCTCATTTTTAACTACCAACAACTTCTGGAACTGTTGCTATGGAAACAGATCATCTCCTCAGAGACTTGTTTTATATTGTACCTCTTTAGCTGTTTCCATGACAATGTGTCATGGTTCGGCCAACAGCAATTCATTTGGACTGAGGTGCAAAGGGTAATGTTGCCAATGGTGTTGCTATGGACATGATGGGTGTTGCTAAGCTCAGGTCAACTGTTGCCATGGAGACTGAAGGTATAGTGTGGACTAAGTGATGCATGAGGATGGAGAAAGGCAGCTCCTCCTTGACACAGCTACATGTTTATGGATCAGGACCAGCACTCCCCGTGGTCAAGGTCACGGGATGTTCAGGGTCAAGGTCACAGGATGTTCAGGGTCTGTGGTCAAGGTCACTGAAAGTTCAGGGTCTGTGGTCAAGGTCATAGGATGTTCAAGGTCTGTGGTCAAAGCCTCGGAATATTCAGGGTCTGTGGTGTCCACACTACACAATCACCGCCAGGACCACGGTGTTCCCATGCCACACTACCATCGGACTCAAGCCACTGCTGCTAGGATCTGCAAAGAGACGTACGGCGGCAGCTAGCGATGTCGTATCCCATGTGTTTTTCGTCAACGGTTATAGGGAGAGGATGCTGCCACTGATCCCTCTCCTCCAGACAAGACGGCAGCTCATTGGGGGACTCAACTCATAGTTGTAGTGTATTCCATTTTTGCTATATGACAGTATTTTACTAAACAAATCATGGTTAAATAAGGTCTAGTTGTCGCTGCTCCCGTCAGGATTGATTCTGCTCTGTGTCGTCGTGTGCGAGGACTCGTCAACCTAGGAGCCATCATTGTGTTTTATGTGTCATGTCACTTCTCAGGATGTGGCTGCACTTTTTTTTGTGTATGATGTCACTTCCTGTGTGGAACTGGTACTACTTTTTGTGTATGATGTCATGACTTCCTGTGTGGAAGCTGTTTTATGTGTATGATGTCACTTCCTCCAGTGGGACATGCTAGTTACCTCATAAGTATCTACCTCACTTCTGCAGTGGCGGCGATGTACAACGGGCGAGCGGGGAGGGAAAGCAGCGATGGTGACAAGGTGGGAGCGTTGTCTTGAACTCGGTCTATCTCAGGGAGTATCTAAGTCACTATAAACCGCGAGTCAAAATTTGACGCCTCACTTTGTCCACAGCTGCAGCTGCCACAGGTCGTCGCCATGGCAACTTGGCTGATTAGTCACCGTGCACCTGATAAAGGTGGAGGTCAACTAATAGCCAGTGTGTACCTCGAAGAGACTGACCTGCATCTGGACGCCGACCATGACGGATGACTACAACATCAACAGCAACATCTCCGGCTGACGCTGTTGTGAGCTGTCAAGTCAACCGCCTGCTGATTTAACCGGAGTGGGTCAGAATCGCTAACTATACCTCGGGAGGGGGCGGAATGTTAGTTTTCATGGTTTATGTACTGTCATACCAATCTGTATCAGCGTAGCCATCATAGGGGGACAAGCACGAGGTGGGAGCCAGGGTGGGGATGGGGTTTGGTCTGAAGCAACTACCTCTGGCATACCTACCGGTTTATTTACAACCATGGTATGCATGCTAAAAACCACATGCAAACTCACTATAGAACCCAACATTTTTCGAGTTAGATACAGCTAACACAGACGCCCTCACCATGTTGGTTTAGCGTAGAAGATGAGGGAGACTGTATGGCTGCAGCATCGGTCAGGGCAAGGGAGGGTGGGTTTGTGTTGTCAGTAGCGGACGGAAGACTTGCTGTTGTTGGCAGAATCGGTGTTCCAATCGGATCATTCATGCTCAAGAAAACTACCATTAGTGTCTTTATATTAGATTATGAAAAACTAAAGTTTTATAGAAAACAGTTTTCTAGTTTCTATGGCAACTGTATTTTAGGGGGAAGCTATCCCTGGGGAAACTGTAGCAACAGCAAGGCATTCAGACTGATGACCGACATACAGACATGGCCATATATGGCTCTCAGTTTCCTTAAACATGGCAGCATTTCTCATCTTCAGGTCTGTGTTTTTAAACAAACGGCGATGCAGTTTTTAATTTTTTTTAGAAAACTGATAATTTTCTAATATGTTTACCATTATATACCTCATCACTACTCGGGTTTCATAACCCTTCACCCCTTGGCTATGTTACTGGTACAGTCCTGGAATATTAGAGGGAGCGTACACTCTAACATAGAGGGGTGATAGGTAACTCATGGCAGGAATTGTTGGTTATTTTCATTAATTTATGATTTCACATCAGTGATCCCTGGCTCCGCCCCTCGTGTGATTCTGTAAATAACCTCGTCCCCCTTGTGACGTTGCTGACGACAACGGAACTGCACCTGATATGCATGTGTTGTGTGTACTGTGCAGCAGTAAGGAGAGTGGGCGTGTCTTCCGATCTCTTCCTCCACACACTACCCGCCCCCAAGGGTAGGTGGATGGGAACAGAGAGGGGCTGCCGCCATTCATACCTCAGCTGGGAAAGGGAGGCAACTCTATATGAACTGAAATGTACATGTTGTATGAGAATATGCCAATATCTTCTTCAATTTGTGTTTTCACCCTGTTTTTGTCCAAGCATATTATTCCAATCTGACAAATGTTGGTTAATTAGATGCAGTTGCCTCCCCTGCCAGAGATCCGAATTTAAATGTGTCTATTGTAGGATTTCTATGTAAAGTGTGTACGGTGTTTTAACATATTGTACAGGCACTTGCTAGGATGATTTATAATAATAATAATAATAACAATAATATTGAACTATGTACGTGGTAAGACAGTAATATATACATTCTTCTCCGTTTTCACAATCCCTTCTGTCTATTGCTTGTGATAACTCTGTGCGAGACCGGTGAATTCTCTGTACCATTTTTCCCTTGATAACAAGCGTAGTGAAGTTCTGCATCTGATGTATTTGAACAAGTGACAGGTAGTTATCAGTGTGGTCGAGATGGTTACACGTTAAGAAATGTTTGTTGTAGGTAAACGCCCCGTGGAAAGCATCCAATATTGTCTTGCCACCAGTGTGTGTTGACCGTGTAGGGGTTGGCATGACTCCAGTCAGTGGCTGTAATGGTACATCATGGTGGGTGCTGCCCCCTGTTGGTGGTTGAGAGAGTTTACGGGGCATATATCATCTGCACTCTGCTGAATTGTACTGTGTCTTCAGAGCTTAAAACATTATAGTTCCTTCCCGTGTTATAAAAAAAAAATATATACTGACACATTTTGAAAATGTATGGTTGATGTTATTTTAATAAGGCCACATAAACTATGTTCTTATTTCTCATCACTTTTTAACAAAAGTATTGGTCAGGCAGGCGGGTTCTATTTTTACATTTTATTTTATTTAATTTTTTGTCCAAAACCCATGATTTCTGTGGAAATATACACCTTTCCTCCGATAGAAAATCAAAACATGGAAGTGTGAAAAATTCATGCACATTCTGAGAGTCAACGTTGCATTTTCTTTAGTGTAAAAAATAAAAAAGAATCTTAGGGCCGAGTTAAATTTAGTGTTGGGCGGTAATGAGAAACAGAAATATTTTTATATATGGCCTAACTGGTAAAATAGTTGCAGTTTTCAAATTAAGTTGCTCTGTGTACTTAGATATGAAACAATCACAACAATGCTGTTCGGTTCAAATCTCATTTGATGTGGTTCATGATCAACTAGAGCAAAAACAACACATCTTGTCAGAAGCTTGAAAACACCATGATTCGAGCTTGGTGTTGGTATAGAGCATAGAGGTTGGTAATCATTAACTAAATATTGATCGATCATCGATAAATATCGATCATCGATAAACTTTCAGCAAGAATGCTAAAAACGCCTGAAAGGAATTAATATATTTCTCATCACTGGTTGTGACATGTTTATGCATGGAGTATCTCGTTCGATGTGTTCCATGATCAACCAGAGTGAGTGAGTAAGTTTAGTATTAGGCCGCTTTTGGCAATATTCCAGCAATATCACGGCAGCGTGACACCAGAAATATGCTTCACACATTTGCCCATCTGGGGAATTGAACCCAGGTCTTTGACGTGATTAGGGGCAGTGGGGTAGCCTAGTGGTTAAAGCGTTCGCTCGTCAAGCCAAAGGCCCGGGTTCGATTCCCCACATGGGCACAATGTGTGAAGTCCATTTCTGGTGTCCAACGCCGTGATATTGCTGGAATATTGCTAAAAGCGGCGTAAAACTAAACTCACTCACTCCCACAATTCGACGTGATTAGCAAACACTTTAACCACTTGGCTACCCCACCGCTCCTGATCAACCAGAGCAAAAACAACACAGGTCAGAAGCTTGTAAACACAATGATGCATTTTCATCAAGTGTCAGTATGTTTATACATCAGATTGAAAATGACAAAATGAACAGCAAACCAGAAAACAAAAATTTATAGTCTCATAGCATGGAGAAGAGTTTGGTTTTGTTTCGACAGAATAAGAAATCTATTCACAAGTGTCAATTATTTTACAAAGGTATTAGGTACCCTCAGCTTAACTTTATATGAATCAAGAAGTGTGTTTTTCTGTCTGATAGCATCTTCTCTACCCAACCCAACTAGACCTACATGCTCTGAGGAAACTTTGTTTGAATGGCATCCAACTCTATGATGTACCTGTTGTCATGGTTACATTTCAGCAAATACAGTTTTAAAGAAAAAAGAAAAAGCAACATTGAAAACCTGTCCAAGGGTTACTATGAATTGATTTTAAAATCTCTCTTCAACTGATTTTAGTGTTATAATGAACTTTTTAATGATGCTCCGCTATTGGGGCTTTTTTTATACACATGCATTTGTACGGGATGTTTTGGCATTGAGCAGTGGATGCAGAGTACCTGTTTCTATGGAGACACTTGGATCAGTCCATGGAAATAATGGACTGATCCAGTTGGATCAATGGGGGACATTGTTACTCAGATCATCAAAACATAGTGCTATAGATATTTAACTTATACGAGTAATAGTTTTAAACTATTATGTTGATATTATATTATGGAACCTTTTTAACTATTGTTCCCATGGTCCTCTGTTTGATTATGTGAAGTTATTGTTGATATTTGTCTTCAGGAAGATATTGTTGAGCTAAGATAAACTGTCTAGCTTGTGTCTATGTTATTGTAACAAGTATTGACAATTGATATGGTCAGAGTTGTCTCCCTTATCTGGTTTCTACAATGTCAAGGTTACTAATGGATTTTGAATCAGTAGTACAGGTTTTGACTAAATAACTGCATATTTGTGTGACTATTTTTGAAACAAAAGAGCATTTACTCTTTGTGTGGGCAAACCTACAACAATCAGCTGGACAACACGTTTGGACAAATGTGATACTACCTCCATTAAATACTTGTACTTTATTTTGTTTTGACTCGGGAAACCAGAATCTTGACTTTGACTGGACTTTATATACATATGTCTTACCTCTGCTGGTGACATATACAACTCAATGTTTGCTAAGGACCACACATTTGACTGAATATGACTATTTTGTTCCTTGGCAGACACCGAGTTGTGTGTCTTGCCTCCAGAACTCTCCTATCCAATTAGCAAAGGAAACAATTTGAAGACTGACTTTTGTTAGAGTATACAATGTGCCATATTGTTGATGTCTTGCAGAGAGGAAATCAGGATCTGTGGTTGAATGATTGTTTGTATGCCAGCTGATAGTATTCCGGTGAATTCTTCCCTCAAATTCTTCCATTGTAAGTTGTTGAAAGTCTCCCAGCAAAGCATACACTGAAGTAACAGATGCCTTGTGTGTCACCCTTAAGATATGTCCATATGGACAACACTGCTGAACCTGTTCCCTGCTTTCCTCTCTGTTAGAGATAAAACACATTAAGGAGTAGAACCACTGGTGTGATACAGGAATTATCGATCTTGTATCGTCCAGTGAACTGCTGCTTTATTTCTAGTGCTATAGAGATGTTTAAAATGAAACTTAGCTAAACGGGCAATTATATTTTGCTACTGTGGAGTGAGTGAGGGAAGGGGATGCTCTGCTCTTATCTATATCAGTAATGTGTCTACCTACTACCTCCTCTTGCTTGTAACTATTTGGTTTAATCTCACATGCACTGATAAAGATAAGGGCTCGGCATTTGCTGGTGCGATCGAGGCCAGTTTAATAATCTTTTTCTTGTGAAGGAAGGAAACGTAAGATATTCTTCTGTTGTCGGGTGGTTTAAGGAATTTATGCAGCAATAATAATGTAAGTGTGTGAAACTGATGATACCAGATTTGGCAGGGAAACAGGGATATTTCCACATTTCAACACTGAGTACAGTTTGTCGAGTATCATTTGCTGTGACTTGCCATCAGATCCTATTTATCAAAATGAAACTTTTACAACTTAAAAAAGTAAACAAAGGCTCAACAAGTGACCTAGTTCATCTGCTAACAGAAATTTCCTGATGAGTTAAAGGATATTTGAAACATGTTGGCAATAATTACTGGTACTAAATGCCGAGTTACACCTTGAAAGGAATGTCATTAATCATATGATTGTGGACAATAACCGGTCTTGGCATGAGTATAATAAACGTTCCTCGCCCATTCCACAGAAAGCTCTCTTCCAGCTCTCCCCTTAGCTCCTCCACAAAATGCTGATTTATGTTCTAGTTGGTGGTTTATCTCCCTTGAATATGTCAGGACTGATCGGAATTCTTCTCAACGCATTTATTTGAAATCGTTAAGTGATACATTTCTAGCATTACCTCTGAAATCGGCAAACAATAAAAAAGCTGGAACCTCCCTCTGTTGTCCTTTATTGTACAAGGGGAGATAAGCACGCTTGTGTTCAAGTGGGGAAGCCATTGCCTCTATGTAATTTCTTCAAACCTGTACCTCAGGCAGTCAGCGGAGGCTGAAGTGCTGAACCTTGACGGACGGACGGACTTACGTCGACCGACTTCAATTTGTAGTCGTACCTAAAGAAGGTGAAGTTGCCGGTGACGTCGTGACAGAACTGGACTGGGACTCGGCTATGACTGTGTGATCAGCCCACCTGTTACGTCGTTACCGGAAGCCATAAGTTCCTGTATTAAAGGAATACTCACGTACACAAACACTCGTTCTGTTGTCTTTTTCAATCAGTTTATCGGCTCCAGTACACACTTTCCGTATATACTGTCGGAGAAAGGTTAAGCCCATTTCTGGTGGGCCCCGCCGTGATATTGCTGGAATATTGCTAAGAGCGGCGTAAAACCATCCAAACTAACTCACTCACTCACTGTCGGAGAAAAAAAACTGTGCTTACTGTGAAGAGTCGTGAATGTTTGAATCTTGGAAATGAGTGAGTTTAATTTTACGCCGCACTCCAGCTATATGGCGGCGGTCTGTAAATAATCGAGTCTGGACCAGACAATCCAGTGATTAACAGCATGAGCATCGATCTGCGCAATTGGGAACCGATGACATGTGTCAACCAAGTCAGAGAGCCTGACCACCCGATCCCCTTAGTCGCCTCTCACGACAAGCATGGGTTACTGAAAGCGAATCTTGGAAATGACTTAAAATATTTTGTCTTTCGTCTGATCAGTGTATCATCGTCACAAATTCATCGGTAAACACGCATCTGGTAACAGAAGAGAGGCCGAGATGTACAACATTCCACAGTAAGTTCCTCGAACCGAGGATCAGGGAGAGTTCCGGTACCTATGGCGACCGTTTCCAGGTTAGCCATAAGATACAATCAAGAACACACTGCTATTTAAATATCTAGCATATTATGTAACAGTTTGAATAACGTGGTCTTACCTGCTCTATAAACTTACTTGAAACGTCCTTCAAAGGAACGGCCACTAACGCTGAAGGGGTCGTTGTCGGCACCCAAGCCCAAGAAAATGGCTTCACACTTGGTGCCCGTGTGGGAAATTTACCCGATTTTTCGGTGTGACTGGCGAACGCTTTAGGCTACCCCTTGTAATGGGGCACGAAAATGGGAATGGTGGCACCATCCTGAGCTACGTCATACCAGAAGACGTTCAAATATGGCAGTTGTTGTTACCTTGCCCTGGGGCTCAGATAGGACTGGACACTTGAGTCCAGGTAATAGTCCGTCAGTGAGGTTCACATGTTCATTTGAGAGCAACATGAAACCCGCATTAGTCAAGACCAGAACGAGTGTCCAGTGAAAACAGACACACACGTCACTATTTAAGTGCAAAGACGCTGAACAAAAAATTGTTTAACTCCCGTGTTACCTCGCTGTCGAATCAGAGTGAGTGGGTGGTTTTAGTGACATTTTTGCAATATCAAGACGGGTGCACCAGAAATGGGCTTCACTTTGTGTCCATGTTGGAAATCG